GATAAAGAAGAAAAACGCGAAGAAATCTTATTTCAACTAAATTTACACAGAGTTCACCGTCCTCACAAAGTAATGCGAAGCCGCGGGCAGCAATTAAAATACAAATTCCGCGCCCATAGTTGACTCCGAGTAGTTTAAAAAACTTACAACAAAACTGTTGCCACGCGAGGATATTTTTATGCTACCTTCGTCCAAACTGCGACTTCGGAGTAATTCTGGGTATGTTTCTGGGAATGAATGTCAAAATTTCGTCTAACTTGGCCGCCCCCAGAGGATTGGAATAGCGCCTGAGGATGAGGGAATTAAAGTAAACCAGTCGTGGAGAGAACCACGAATGTAATAAAACTGAGCAACCGATTTTTCAGTTCGCAGTGGTATCCCTCCATACAGGATACCGCTACTCACGATGATCATCTTCGATCTTTCCTTCTTCGCATCATTTTTCAAGGTCGTCCTCGTGGCTAGTCGATAGGCGCGCACCCTGAGCAAAACGTTGCAGATGTTCCCTGTGGTTTTTATTGCGGTGTCTTTGGTGCTGTGTAGTCTACACAATACGCATGGCCTGTATTTTCACTTGGCCGAGTCAAAATCTCTTTGCTTTGTGCAGGACGTTCCAGAAGACACTTTGGTAAAAGGTATGTCACGAGTTCAATATTTCAATCGTTTCGCTCTCCATAGGTACCTATAATTTGAAAGTTTTAAAGAACAAGCATTACGAGAGCGATGCCTCTCTCGTTATTTATGTCACCATCAGTGATCCGGACGATAAACCATTTCATTCTCGCGTGAGTTCTTTTTCCACAGGTGTCTATAGAATCGAGGCATTGTCACCTGGGTCGCCTATCTTTGGTCCGTCTGGCCATAGTATTCACGTTAGAGTCTCGGACCCCTTCTTTGAGGATATTTTGTCCCGCGTAAGCTCCAGTGCGGCGGCGTTTTGGTGATTTTGCACTTGGTGTTTGAATTTGAGTTTGGTGATCCCGGTCAATTTCAACCGCAGCGGTATTTCCGAACGCTGTAACAGTTGTAACACCCTTCCGGTGCCTAGCTGCCATGCCCTCGTGCCAACCGGGGGTAGCACGAGGGCTGGGATACTGCCAGGTTGCCGAAGCCTAGACAAGGGAAGTCGAGTGGCGGAGGTCGGGTTCGAACAACGGACCTTCCAATCAGCAAATTCGCGCTCCATCTCGCCCCGTTGTGTGGATGCCTAACGTGTAATTAGGGGGTAAAACGGTTCACGGGCTATCAACAGTTTGCCTAACCTACCTAAAATAGCCTCATTTGTTTGAGGAAGCTGTTGTAGGCCATAGATTAAGCGGTCAGAAACTCACATGGAAATACTACAAGCTTGTCTCAGTCTGGTGGGTTCGATACGGGTCGGCCTCAGTTGGTCGTTTTCTGGAGAAGCACAACACTTTATTCACGATGCGTTTGGCGGCGTCTACAGCTCAATTGCATGCGAATTTCTAGGGGGTATCGTAGAAGTCAGAAAATTTCGTATTTGCATGCTGTCTTGACCACTTTACTTATCTGGGTGCGAGTTCTGGACCCCAATTGGGTAAATGAGTTCAACAAGAAAACGGAACGTAGTTCCGTGTGCTGACCCAGCAACCGAACACTTGGAATCCTCTTCAACATGCAACACTGAGCACGATGAGAGAAAAAAATGTACCCCACAGTAGGTGCCATTGAAGCTTATATTGATGACTGAAACAGTCGATAAGCCGCTGATGTGCGAAGAATGATGACTACAACATTCACAACCCCATTTACAGGATTGTGCAGTGGTTAGATGTTCGATGGACCCGGTCACATGACTCCGCTTCAGGACAAGTGGCAATTTTTTATATATTAAAGTATAGTTCGATGGTAGGCTTCTTTCAGCTGTAGCACCCTTTCGATGCATAACTACTATGCCACCCGAAGCCTTCAGCTGTAGCACCCTTTCGGTGCATAACTACTATGCCACCCGAAGGCTGCACGATAGCTGGGATGCTGTCAGGTTGCCCAAGCCTAGACAGGGGAAGTCGAAAGGCAGAGGTCGGGTTCGAATCCCGGCCCTTCCGGTCAGTGAATCCGCGCTCTAACCACTTGGGCCATCTCGCTCACACATACCAGATCAGGTTTTTAGGCCAAAGGACTTGGTGGGAATTCTAACTGTCATATCTAGTTATTGGCTCTTAGACACTATCAGCCCACCTAACCGTGAACTTCACAAATGGGAGCACCGTCATGCTGCATCGGTCACTGTCTAGTATTATCACTCGGGTCACGTAGTTCGCTGCCTACGGTAAGGAGTATAGGCGATAACATGTGACTGTTGACGCCTGCCTTTATTGTTATTTCATTCGCGACCTTTCCCATTTGGCAAATGCATATTGATCCCAGCTCCATACATACCAGGCGGGCGCCGATGGGGTCGACACGTTGCACCTCGCCTCCCACATCTATCGCTAGTCGTCTATGGATATGTTATAATTCTCGTTCAGCTGTGGCACCCTTTCGGTGCTTAGCTGTCATCCCACACGAAGGAGGCACGAGGGCTGGTATACTGCCAGGTTGCGTAAGCCTAGACAAGGGAAGTCGAGTGGCATATGTCGGGTTCGAACCACGGATCTTGTCTGTGAATTCGCGCTCTAGCCACTTGGTCCATCTCGACCTGATTCTACTGATTCTATAATTCTACTGATGTATCGATCACTTTTGTCAGGTACGTAAAAATCAAGAAGACAAACGGTCTTGAGAAAGTCGTACATGGAACAAGTAAGCCGTTCCGTGATACATATTCAGCCAGCATGTAACGAAACGAGCAGTCCAATAGGATATCATTGAAAAGCTGAAACGGAGAAAACAAGGTTTCGGTTTACAAGACGATTTGCTAGAAAAATGGATCCGTTCGTTTGGATGTAGTCCTCTCAACATGACCCTCACTCTCCTGTATTTTATTGCAACTTTTACCGCGCGAACTTTAGGGTAGCTCAGCCAACAACCTGCCCTTGCATTAACTCCAGGTGCTTTGTCGATTAAAATCCGCTGTATATGTGAAAATCGAATGTAAGACACGAGTACAGTTGTTGGCGCTATCGGCTACCAATGTCGAATGATATTTTATCGGGTCGCACCGAGTTTGGTATAGCACTCCGCTCGCCATCTGGGATTTCATCGCTCGACTAAATACCTGTTAACGACCTACTCTGCGCTGTTCAACTACCTCCACTCGACGAAAATCCTCGCTTGTTGAGATAATGAACGTTTTTTGTGTGCCCATTTATGTACCAAATGACTTGGTCCCTCAAGAAGACAACGAAAATGTCGGATTATAAGACGGCGAACAGTTCACAGGTGCACAGCAGTTATCCGCTGAGGGGATATCACAGCTGCTCAATTATTCCGTGATTCCACAGTTTGTCTCGTAAAACCAGTGAATGAGTGGTTCGACTCATGTGGCTGTAGGGGCTGGCTTCTTCCGAAGACACAGGGAGCAATGCATGGATAAGAGACTTATGCTTGCTGCGCCCAAGAGATTCATCTGGAACGGGATAAGACCGGAGGGATTTTGCAGCTTTTGACCATTAATTAATGCGTCGGCGGCCATCGTCTGTGGTTGGCAATAGAAATGTGCGACCCGTAAACCTACTTTCTAATCCGTCTTTCCTTGGGAAAAGGCAACACGGCTGCGTGTAAGAATCACCTCACTGCTTCCACATCTGGTCGCAGGGGACAGTACTTCCATCGTCTCATAATACGATTGTCCGCAGTACAGTAACTTTTATCTGGCTGATTCCCTCAGGTATCTCTGGAGTGATTGAGGGACGAAGTTCTAAACAGCGCAATGCTCAAGCTCGGCCACCTCGCCTATGTGATAGCTATCGTCGTACGTCTCCAACTGTTACGTTACCTATCCAGCATATGGTGCATAGACTGGTTACCTGCTGTGGTCTAATTGTCAGCTTTGGGAATGATCTGAAAACCAAAGGCCTCTTGGACAAACACTTACTGCTCACTAGCCGCTAGATTGTTCTAAAAGTCAACAGGTTGTTGCAACAAAAACTCCCGAAACGCTGGCGATAAAGTCCTACGAAGGATTATCGTCATTTTTGGGGTAACGGTACAACGTGTTGGCATTGCATGTATGTTGCGCAAACGATATGCTTCTGGAAGCGGTTTTCAAGTTGATTTTGACAGTGCGCTTATCTCTCAGTACTTCTAATCATGTCACAATGGTTCTTTGACTCCCAGCCACACAGCTTAGTCGACTCTACACCACTTGGAATTCCAGTTCTCCCTGTTCCTTCGCCTTACAGTAGGTTTCCTATACGTTCGTTTCTCCCAGTCAGGACGAGCACGTACGAACAGGATGCTATACGGCAGATATCGTGACTTACGCAGAAAGTCAACTGACCAACGTAGTAGGTATGCTTGAATGGTGGACTCTAGAGGTGGGTTGAATAGCCCAGGTACTATCCGACGCATTTTATGACTTACGCGATGTTGCCAGACGCTGGCAGTATTACCCAAACAACGACTGTCGGATAGTTATGGTCGTTAGGCTCTTTCAGCGCGAGTAGACCCTACAGTAAACAAAAATAAAAACAATATGATAATCGTTTACCCATTTAGTGCCTAGCTGCCATACCCCTCGAAAGAAGCAAGGGGGCTGGACCAGGTTGCCCAAGCCCAGATAGAGGAAGTCGAGAGTCAGTGGTCGGATTCCAACCACGGACCTTGTGGTTAGTGAACAGGCGCTGTAACCAAGAGCGTCTCGCTCCTTATAGTGGGGTTGCGCGCACTTTTAGGTGTCGCACTGCATGCTCTATTCCTAGGTTCCTGATCACCAGTTAACAAGACTGCAGCGCGAGCCGCTGTAATATGTGTGCCGTTTGTAAAATACGGCATGGAAGGTGTCCTTTAAATA